TTTTGTTTTTTAATTTTCCTCTTTTTTTTTTTTTTTTTTCCTTCTGCTTCAATCGGAAAGATTTCTTCTTCTTTTTTTTCTTCTTTTTTTTTTTCTTCTTTTTTTTTTTCTTCTTTTTTCTTCTTTTTTTTTTTTTTTTTTTTTTTTTTTTTTTTTTTTTTTTTTCTTTTTTTTTTTTTTTTTTTCTTTTTTTTTCTTTTTTTTTCTTCTTTTTTTTTTCTTTTTTTTTTTCTTTTTTTTTTTTTTTTTTTTTTTTTTTTTTTTTTTTTTTTTTTTTTTTTTTTTTTTTTTTTTTTTTTTTTTTTTTTTTTTTTTTTTTTTCTTCTTTTTTTTTTTTTTTTTTTTTTTTTTCTTTTTTTTTCTTCTTTTTTTTTTCTTTAATAGTTTTTTTTTTAATTTTTATAATTTTCCATATAGGGAAATGTATTTATCTATTCCCAAAGACAAATCACTTGAAAAAAAAATGTCACCTCTGCAAATTTTTATCAACAGGTTTTTTTTTAAAAAAAAAAAAAATTAATTGATTTTTCTTTCTAAATCCACAAATTAAGTATTAAGAAAAAAATTGATTATTGCTTGGTTATTGCTAATTTGTTATATATGTTATAAATTTTGACTAGCTTTCCTTTTCATTTGCTTTTGCGTATGTATGTGCAGCTTTTGACTGCAACACTCAGATTCTTTTTACATTCTCTGACAAATAGAATCGATCATGTAATATTTGTGTGCTAGTTAACTGCTTTTTGGCAGAACCAGTATTATGAAGTCATAACTTTTTCCTGAGTTGGATAATTGTTAGTTGACTCGCACACACACACACACACACACACACACACACGAGAGAGAGTGTGGTGCATCTGTGCCCGATGTATGAATTTAATGCTGTTTTTTGATTATTAATGTTGGAGATGCAATCTCCCAAGATATATGAGAATTCATAGACATTATTTTTAGAAAAGCCCATGTGTAGAAATAATAATGTTGTCTATGAATTCTCATGCCCCTTTGGAGATTGCATTTCTAACATTAATAATCAAAAACAGCATTAAATTCTTATATATGATGGCTGCCCATTTGCTGGTACAAAGCTGGCCACAAAACAGGCTTTGGTAGATGAGATGATACACGTGCAATTGTTTATCGTTATTCATGCCATGTGCACCATCAGGTGTACTCTCAGCATCACACAGTCATAATCCATTGATAAGAACCAGTGAAGATAATTGGAGACTATGCTGCATGTGCTTTTAAGTATTCTATGGGTAATTCACAGGTGGGGGGTCATTGATACATGAATCCAATCACAATATGACCTCAGCCATTTTAATGGCACATATTGGTAATCAAATGACAAAATGGAAAGATAAGTTTCATTGTCTATGGATTTGACAAAAAAAATAAAACAAATGCCAATTATAATTTTGTTTTTCCTTCCACCATCCACTCTGTTCATGCACATGTGTATGTATATAAAAAGACTGACTCCAACAGGAAAACCACTATTATTCTAAAGTTCTTCTTTCTGTGGCCAAAATTCATTACTTTGGAATTTTTGTCATTCAATTATCCACTATTAATCCAATATATAGATTTTTAGAGGCACGGTAGAGTAATGGATTGCGGACCAGTTTGAAGAATTAGAGAGCTGAGTCTTAATTCCATTTGATAGTACCTTTGAGAAAGATACGAATCTAACTTTTTCCCTTCCACTATGAGTAAATAGTATAGCAGACTAGGTTCTATAGCCTTGGGTGGCAACTAGTCTAGGAGAAGGAAAACTTCAAAGCTGTATGTATCCCTGGTGAAGCACATACTATACACCTAAAGGAAAGAATCATTCGTATTGACTTGAGGATCCGGACTACAGTCGACTCTTATAGATTTTCTACATTGTACCTGATATATATTTGTAACAAAGAATGTAAATACCTTGTAAGCTGCATTCTTGCTGTACACTGGCGAAACTGAAATAGTAATGACTATACTTATAAAATTGAAAGTACCCATCATGTATATGTCAGTAAGTGTTATGTTAACTTTTCTTACTTACATATATGTGATAAAAGCCAATTTATATGTAAAAGCTCTCATGGGATACGTGAATCATGAATGAGCAAAAATTACAATATTTTATTAGTCAAACAAAATATTTCTAAAATAAAAAAAATGGTAAAACTCTAGTTATTAACTACCCCAGTTATGGGTTAAATAGGACTTACATCTGAAAATTATTATTATCTGCAAATATTGTTTATATTCACTAGCAAAAAATAAAAAAACATCTTACAATCCAAAAATGTTTCCACTTTAAATAATCCATAAAAGGCTAAGCTGTAAAAAAAAAAAAAAAATAGGTAAAATCTAGTTATTAATATTGGCTAACACAGTGAAAACTGGAGGCTGTATTATTCTCTTTCTAAACATCAGAGCTGATCTCTGATAAGATTTGAAACTGATCTTATCTCTCAGCCTAGATGTATGTATGGAAGCCCATTCCATTTACAGAAGTAAAGGGACATGATAGCCTCGAACACTATTCTCTTGCATAAGAGTGAAAAGAATATATTATCAGAATTACTTACAATATTGTAGAATACAAAAATGACTCTAGTGTTGCAGTAAAAAGCAAGAAAAATGTGATTGAGAAAGCATTAGTCAAAAATTAATAACAGCTCCTTACATCAACTCCATTTTGTTAAAATGAATGAATGCAATCTTTACATTTGTACTTTTTATTATCTTATCAATATTATTTTCCTAAACGTTTTAATATTTTGAAAATGCTTTTATTTCTCAGTTGTTTTTCAGACATCTTGAAATATTAAAAAAAAAAAAAAATTCTTTGTAATTTCTTTCTCTGTTGCAATATTTTCCAAATTTTCTCTTCCTTATTTCTTTCAAGTTTGACTTTTATCAAAATAGTATTTGTTACTTTCTCTTATCAGGATTAATGGGGCGGTAACAGTGGTACCACCTCAAATATCCACTCCAGCACTACCCCACAGCTACTCAAAGAGAATCCATCCCCAAGTGAGCCCACCCTAAAAAAAAAGAAAAATCAAAGAATCCCATTTTTTCTTCACAATATTCCACTAGCCAGTAATAATAACTAGTAATAAGTACTGTAGCACCCCCTGTCAAGAACAAAAATGTCTGATAAACAAAGGGGAGATAATTATGGACAGTACCGAGCTGCTGCTACATCTGCAACTCTTTCATGCTTATTGCCCAATACAAGACTTGCAGATCATTCTCAAAGTGGGAATCTTTCGCAAGTTGGCCATGGCCAGTCAGCCAACCCACATACCACTTTACATGGGGTCCAAAAACATGATAGCAGCACACACTCTGTCCCACAGAAAGGACAAAGCTCGGTGCCTAGACATTCCAATTTGCAGTCTGAATTAGAAATGGTTTTTCAAAAGCGATTGAAGCAGCCCAAGAAAAAATTTCAAAAAGAAACACCAAATTCTTCTTCCACAGAGGTTTCTAAATCCCCACCCCAGCAGGTAGATAATGCTAAGCCAGACTCTAGGACAGTTAGCACCAGCATCCAGTCTTCGTCCCAGCTCCAACCCCAAAAGCACAGCCATTTTTCAATATCATCACCAACTCCTCCTCCACGTAGTTCATCACTCCAGAAGGCCCAAGATGAACCTACCACAAATGGTCAGGTTCAAAATGTAGGTATATCCGGGTACCGTAAAGTAATACCAAGGGGGATCCGTACTCCTCGTAGCTTTAACCAAGAATTTTCAGATTTTACTGATTCTGAAGATTGTCGAACACCTGATGTCAGTGTATTTAACATGTCAGAAGGGTACCGTACCCCTTTAGAGTCCGAAGATGAGGCTGATACCGCTTCAAAACATTCCTATGCGGCCAGCTCTACTAGGTTTCCATTCAAGTCTGAAATTGTCAAACATTTTGAAAAACCAGTTCCTGTGTTTCTCAAATGTCAGACTTGGTGCAATCAGATTCCAAACACTGAGCCTCGTCAACAAGTCAGTGACACTAACTTAAACAAGGAACTCCAAAACATTGAGTCTTTTGAATCAGCCATGTTGGACTGGTTCCAAACCCTAAACAAAGCTAATGATGATGATGATCTCCGGTCAGAGACTTCTGTAAGTTCCATGGGCTCCTGTAAGTCTGAGTACCGGCTTCGATCACTCATCAACAGTCGTTTTCAAAATTCAGAGCAGATAGAAAATGTTCTCACAGACTTGCTTGCAATTTCCGATCAGTACGCTCAAGTGACAGATACAGGATCTGTTGTATCAGAATCACAAAAGCAAGAAAAACATGAAAGCTTTCCAGAAAGACAAGAAAAGCATGAAAGTTTTCAGACTCTTAACCTTGAGAAAAAATATGTTCCAAGACGTGGTCGAGCAACTGTCATCCGACGGAATTCAGCCTCAGGGGATATTTCGGGAAGTGAGTCGGAATCAGAACACCCTAGGAAACGTGGTAGTTATAAGACTGTTTTATCCGAGTTGCAATCTGTACTTCGGCAACGACAGATGATACCAGAACCACCCGAATCTGAAGAATCAGGTCTTGGGTCATCTGAGTATTCAAATCCACCAACAAGTCCCTTATCACCAACTTCAGCACCACCAACCATGCCTAAACCACAGTTTCCTAAAGTTCATGAACCAAGGGTAACAAGAACTGCACAGGTGACACGTAAACCCTTGGTAAATGCTGGCGATTTTAAATTACTTCTTGGACAGCTCAGCACCGCGTGGTCTAAACGCTTGAAAAGAATTAGAAAAGCACAATTGGTTTCTCAAAGAGGCATGCAGAGTTCTTTATATGCCAATTTTCAAGGATTTCGAATACCTGAGGTTTTGCTTGATGAGAAATCAACTAAATATGCTAACTTTGAAGGAAAACTTGAGCCTACCGAGGTCCTCAACCCAAATCCAGAACCAACAAGCAACAGTTACAGTCCTAGTTGTGAATCTGCTCCAAAAACAGACACTCTTTCAAAACCGATGTTTTGCAAGAGTCGAGGGCAGGGAAACGAGCTGCAAGTGTTGCCTTCTGAAATTTCTAAGAAAGAACGGGTGTACAAATCTCAGTCTGAGACCCAGTCTGTACCCTCAAAAGAAATAACTGGCCGAGAACTTCTTGAGTTCATGCAACAGCCAGGCCTGAAGAAAACTGGATTCAAAATGAACAAGTACATTAAGAATGTGGCATCCGGTGGGGTCCTACCTGAAATTACTGAAGAGGGTCATATTCCATCACCCAGTCATCGTAAATTAGTTGCTGTCCTCAACAAAGATGCTGAATTTGTCCCAACGTCAGTCCATGGGGAGACTAAAATGCCAACGCACCAGTCCATACCAGGTCAGATACTGTCTCCAACACCAGGTCCAATGAAATCATTGCCCCAAACATCTCAAGTCAGCTCACCCTCTTCTACACTGTTTACTAATATCAGATCACCATCTCCAAGTTATATGCAGTCACCATCACCCACCCAAATTAGATCGCCTCCACCACCTCAAGTGAAGTCCCCAGTTTCAGACCCTCCCCAAAGGGCTAATGTCCACTCCTCTTCCTCCTTCCAGGTTTCCCACATGAGATCCCCTCCACCACCCCCACCACCACAAAGAAATTCACCTGCACTATCTGCTCAGCTTAGCTCACAACCAACCCAAGTGTGGTCACCATCTTCTATCCCCTCAGCCCAGGTATGGTGCCCGCCATCTCATGTAAGATCGCCTTCACCTGCACAGGTAAAATCACCCCTTCCTTTCCAACAAACCATGGTAAGGTCACCACCTCCACAGGTAAAATCCCCTCCCCCCCTTTCTCGTTCACAGGTAAGATCTCCTCCTGCCCCTCCTCGTGCACATGTAGGATCCCCTTCTCCTCCTCCACGTTCACTGGTAGGCTCTCCTCATCTGCATGCACAAGTAAGTTCTCCACCACCCCCACCACGTATGCAAACAAAATCTCCTCCACCTCCTCCTTATCCTCCACCTCCACCACCCCTACATGTAAGATCACCTCCTCTTATTCCTCCTCCACCACCACCTCCACCTCCACCTCGATCTCCTCAGGTATCATCGCCAATGACTTTATCAGAAACCCTGGGGAATAATGCAATAATTTCCAGTACAGATGTACAGATTAAAGCACCAGTCCCAATGTCCCCACCCCACAGTCAACAAGGACCTGCCTTTACTGCGCCTCCAAACAAGAGCAAGTACACTTCTGATCTTGCAAAGAAAATTGATAAAATCAAAGGGGAAAACATTCGTTCTTCACCTGATCCAGCCATTCGGAAAACTTTAATGGCTGGAGTCACTGACCTTTCTGAGCAGCTAACTTCTACCATCACAGAAGTTGTGAAAAAGACTGAAGAAAGACCTGTTTCCAAAACCATGTCTAGTCCTAGTATTTTGAGCAGTGAAAATATTGCTTTGACCAGTCAAATCTTACCTCAGTCTGAATCAGTAAAATCGTACCGTCTCATGTCTGGCTCCATTTCCCCGACTATTACAAATGCTATAACATGCCCAGAGATTGAGAATGATAAGAAGGTGATCCTTGAACGTTTGAACAAAATAGGGGAGAGAAATGTGATAGTTAAAGAGGAACTACCTGAGCTGCCAATGGATATTGTAAAAGCAAGTGCTATTAAAATTAAACCTCTTCTCACAGAAAACCTTAACAAGTTGGTACGCAATGTCAAAGAAGGTAGTAAGGAAAGATCTCCACTTGTTGATGAGAGGCAAGAATCTGAAGTAATTTTGGATTTTGCAGTAACCAAGGAACCACCAGCAGGTGAAGACAAAGTCGAACTTTCAGGGGATGTGAAAATTCCGTTGGAACCAAGCAAACCTGAAATCTTGGAAACTAGTGTATTATCCGAGAAATCTTCAGTATCTCAAAACAAAGTTGATGTGGATGTTAGAGATTTTGAAACTGCTGAAGTGGAAACAAACACCCCTTGCACAGATGTTGAAGCTGAAGTTACTTATGATATAAGTCTGGAAAATACTGATGTTTATAAAAATGACCAACCTCCAGCTGGTGAAAATAAATCTGAAAATCATTTTGCTTCTACCGAGTTAGATTCAGTGATGGAGACTGTGCTACTCAACTTAAAAAGTATTGACAGTTTGCTACCAGAAGAAGCAAAAGCTGACAAGTCCTTGGTCTCATCTGAGCAGAATAAAGGGTCTCAAGAAACGGACGTTTGCTCATTTGTCTCCCCTGTTTCCTTCCCAGACAATACTGCCATCTTTGAAGTATATGACAATGTTGATCTATCTGTATCAGTGAGTGCTAATGAAGAAGATTCCAGAGACGTTTGTGAGGTTACAATGCAGGAAAATGAATCTGTGGAGAAAAGATCTGTACAAGAAATAGAGGCTTGCATAGTTGTCTCCCCTGTTTTCTCAGCAGAGGGAACAACTTCTCATGAAGAGCATAAGGATGTTACTACTCCTGTGCTAGTTAATGACAAGGAGGAAGATTCTACTAAATTATATGAAGCTCCTGTTGGGGAAAATGAATCTTATGATGGTGAGGACATCTCCTTTTCAGTTGTCCTTGAAGATTCTTTTGACACTGAAATTATCACCCCAACTGAAGAGCTTGAAAATCTCTGGGTTAATCCAAGTCCAATGCCAAATGAATATCTGCCTGACAAATCTACTGCTGATGAGTTTACAATTCCCACAGAAAGAGACATTACAGACTTTGATATCCAACCAGATAGAGTTGAAGCATGTGAACCTGAGACAGAAAGTATATCTAGTAAGAGTTTAGAATGTCTCCCAGTAAAACCTTTGTTAGTAGAAGATCCCACTCTTGTAGCAGTTACTGAAATTGAGACAACATTCAAACCAGAAGTGATTTCAGATTGGATGACTGTGCCAGATGTCAGTTCGGAACCACTCCCTTCTAGTCCTGAAGATGTTTCTACTGTTGTTCTCCAAGAAGCAGAAGCACCTCCAGTTAAAGAGGTGTCTGACTATGCAGTTACTCCAGAGACACTTACGGAGAGTATTACTGTTCCTGGCAGTGCCACAGAGTCCACTGAACTGGCACCTTTCATTTCAGTCATTTCCCTTATAGAGCCAGAGATGCCAGTGTTTGAAACTCCACCTGAAGTTTTTGATATTCCTGTACAAAATCTGGTTTCCACAGAGGTAAATGCTGGTGCATTTGCTGAAATATTAGAGCAAAAAGCCATATTATATGCACCTTCTGAAAAAGAAGACAGCAATCTGACTGAAGAACAAGAAATATCCTTTGACCAACTGAAACAGACTATCAAAGAAGAAATGCTAAAGTCTGAAGATATCAGTAAAGTGCTTGTCTTAGAGAGCATGAAAAGCTCTGGGCCAAATGGGTCACCAGATGATTGTGAATATGAAGATGCTATTTGTTACAGCTCTGATGATTCCCTTACATTTGAAGACACCCTCACATCGCCAGTATTGCCACGACGTGTTTACAAAGAAGTTGTTCGTGCCGAGATAGGATCTCGGGTAGAAACACTTCAGTCTTGGGCAAAACCAGAACCCTTGAAATCCTGGCCCAACCAAGAAAACTTACAATTGTGTACTGAAGAAGAGGCTACGGATCTGGCTGAAGATCTGAATTCAGAAGAATTTCATGAGGCTGAAGATGGTATTTCAAATAAGGATGAGGTTCCTTTTAATTCTGATCAGCAACAGTTGGTGTATACACTGCCAACTATTTATGAAGCCACTGAAGAATCTCTTGAAGAAGAACGAAGAATTCTTCGTGAGATTGACCATGTCGACCAGCTGATTGGTGAATGTGTAGAAACCTTAGAAATGTCACCTGTGGAACTGGCCCAAGTCCAGGAGCAAGATCCAATTCTTCGAGGTACTGAGTTACCAGATTTTATCTCTGAGATGAAATTTGAAAGAGATGTCCGAATAGGTTCAGTTCTCTGTGGTCTTGCCAATCTCAAGAATGGCCCTGTTCTTCCTGCAGGTACTGATGATTCTGCTACTCTCTTTGGTGAGCTCAAGAGATCCCAAGGTTTAACAGCTTTGGATCAGATCTGTGCTGACCAGTCTTCAGAAAGCCCAGTTCAGGATGGTAGTCCTGAAGAAAAGGTTTCTGATAATATCGGTCCAGAGATTTCTTCCGATGAAGAAATCTTTCATTCAATACCATACAATGTTGACACAGAAAAATTTGAAGAGGAAATCCTACCTGCAATGTCCAGAAAGGTTATCTTTGACAAAATGGGTGTAGGAAAGGTACTAGAAGAAAAGCTTGAAGAAACAGAAGATGAAATTTCTCCTCCTCAAACTCGTTCTGAAAAAACATCTGAAGATGAGGAAGACAGTGTCAAAAATTGGATGGTAGAAGCTGGTAAGACTGAACTGCAGTTGCCATCGGTGATGCCAACACAGCAGTCACTGGCTGACAAATTTGAAAACTTGATTGAATATTTAGAATCAGATGCTGCTAAAGAATTACAAGAATTTGAACGGATTGAGTCTGCCTGTGAGCGACTGTCCAAAGAGCATCGCAAAGACAGTGTTGTTAGTGACGTCTCACTTGGGAATCTTGAAAAATCTGATGATTTTGAGATGTTGATCAAATCTCTGGATTCAGAACTTGAAGATGATAGGACTCAGAATGTCCTTACCAACCCCAAGGAAGACCTTGTTCCAGGAGTGGTCCTTGCTCCAATTAATGAAGATTGCCAAAAAATGGACATTTGTGATTCTGATGATCATGTCAATCACCCTAAAGATTTTGGGACTTTGTCATCCAAAGAAGATTTTTTTGATGCCTATTCTGAAGCAGAGTACTCCGAGTACATGCTCTGCAGAGATCCTGAAGATTCTGGTTATGTTGATGCTGTTCCTATTGAAGATACTACCGATGATGATTTCAAGAAGCTGATGATGCTTAAACGGTCAAAGATTCAGGCTATGACTCAAAGTGCGTCTCCGCAAGCAGATGAAGAGGTCAATGAAGACACACAAAGCTGCACTGATAGCGATTACCTCAATTACATGAGGGATAGAGAAATGGAAACTTATGAACTGATGACATCAGAAGTACCTGTAATGTCATGTAAAGCAACTGACATACAAAACCCAGCCTTATCCATCAATGAAAAAGCTGTTCCTCCTTCAGAATTTGTTATAACTTCTCTGGAATCAGAACAGGAACATGGAACCATTTCTGAAGACATCTCTTTGATGCCAGCTTCTTCGATTGAAACAAATGAAATGCCTGTGGTTGTCAGTGATGAAATTGAAGAAGAATATTTCACCATAAGAGGTGCCGAACACACTGTGGAAAAGGCATTTGAATATCTTTTATCATCCAAAACAGCATTATTAAAAGATAATAAAACTTCCCCAGAATCAAATACATTTAGTTCAGCAGAACATTCAGGTTCAACATCTGTGAAAGAATTTGTTGCCCTTCAAACTGGGGATTCACTAGAAGGTGAAGCAATCAAACTTAGTAATAAAGACAATGTTCTTGAAGGTGACAATATTTCTATTACTGAGACACAATCCAAAAATGAGGTAAGCAACACTAATGCACAGGAAGCCATCATGTCCTCTTGCACATCTGTTACAGAGAATACCATTCCTGATGGGATTTATGAAACTAAAATAGTAGACACAGTGAAATCTATAGAAGTTCCTTTAAGCAGTTCTTTGATATCTAGAAAAGCAGAGCCCAAGACCGATTCCTCAGTATCATCAAATCTTCAGACTGAGTTTGATGGTAAACCATTGGCAACAACATGCAAGACTACTCCCAAAGTGAGATCGTCGTCGTCGTCATCATCATCATCTTCAACTGAACATAATGTCTCATATGAACATCCACTTGTGCCACCAGAAAGTCTTTCTTTATCTGAAGACTCCAAAGATACAGCTGCTAACAAAAAGAAAAGAAAGAAGAAAAAGAAAAAAGGTAAAGGCAAGGAAGAACCTGTCGCACCATCAAATGATATCAAAGAACTACTTTTGAATTCTGAGAAATCATGTTTAGGACATAATATTGAAATGGATACCGAATCCAACATTGCCATCAAGAAATCCAATGAAGAAGCCATAGTTGAAATTCAAGATGATGTAAAATGTTCTATTTTGGATTCTGGAAGAATAGATCCCTCTGAAGAACTTCAAATAAAGGATCAGCCTTTAGAATCACCAGTGCCGTCCTTGTCTGCTTTTGTACCAGCTATGTCTTATGAAGAGACTGCCTCTAACCTTTTAACATCTGATTCATCAATGGCTATAAATGAAGACTTTATTGTGAAAGCAGCAGTTCCATCAGATTTTACACTTGAAGAAACAGAGCCTTCTTCAGAACCTTCAAAAATACCTTCTGATTTTGTTTCATCAGAGTTTATAGTGAAATCAGAAAAGCAGAATATTGTGGCTGGGGAATTTTTGGAGGTATCCTTGTCAGTGAATCCAGCATTGGAATCTTTGGAACCTACCGAAGTTCAGGCTACCGATTCTGCTGATTCAAAAGTGTTGTCATCTTCAGCTGTATCATCTGATCAAGTGGAATCTACTTCTGAATGTTTCACAGAAACAAATAGTTCTAAGCAATCTTTAGAAGCTGTCATGATTTCAGAAAATGCAAAAGAGATCACATCTGATGCATTACCCAAGAAATCTGCACCACTTGCTCCTCATTTAAAATCTGAACCCACCCTTTCAACTATTTCCCACCCTTCAAAACATCCAGCTCCAATTGCCCCCCATCTGGATTCCTACAAGGAATTAGCTTCAGTTACTTCCTTGAAGCAACCAGCCCCTGTTGCCCCTCCTCCATCATCATCTTCACCAAAGCAACCAGCCCCTGTTGCTCCTCCTCCATCATCATCTTCACCAAAGCAACCAGCCCCTGTTGCTCCTCCTCCATCATCATCTTCCCCAAAGCAACCAGCCCCTGTTGCTCCTCCTCCTTCATCATCTTCACCAAAGCAACCAGCCCCAATAGCTCCTTCACCATCATCCTCACCAAAGCAATCAGCTCCAGTTGCTCCTTCTCAGTCCTCATCATCACCACCAAAGCAACCAGCCCAAATAGCTCCTTCACCATCACCCTCACCAAAACAACCAGCCCCAGTTGCTCCTCCATCGCCTTCATCCTCATCAAAGCAACAAGCCCCTATTGCTTCTTCATCATTATCATCATCTCTCCAGTCTTCAGCAATCAATACATCCCAAGCAGAGACAACCACATCTAGTAGTGTCTCCTTAGAATCAAACAGGGATGTTACATCCATAGCACTGGCTTCAAAGGTCCCAGTAAAAATCAAAAGTGGGACAGAATTATCAGAATCCTACCAGAGAAAAGCTGCATTTCTTTCCAGTGTCCCACAACCAGTTGAGGATTCTTTCCTTCACAGGGGTTCTTCCTCTTCATCTTTGTCTGAATTAAAATTTGTGCAGCCACCACCATTGCCTCGTTCTTTGAGAGATCAGGAACCTCCTCAGCCACCAGCTCGAGAGCATTCAATGGATAACATTCCATCAGATTCCTTGAAATCTGAGAGCACCAATGGGGCACCACTATGTGCTCCTGAAGATACAAAGATCATCAATCCTTCTCTGGAACACTCTAAGACTGCTCATAGCAATGGTTTGGATGAATCCTCAACATTAGCCAAGTCCTCCCAAAGTCAAAGTTTGATACGGACAAATTCCCCTGCAAAACGATTTCGGGACCTAAAACATTTCTCCAGAATCAGTAACATGACATACAACGAAGTCATTGAAATGGAAGAAGAAGAAGATCGAAGACGCTATGATTTTGGCACAAGTCGGCGCCTTAGAGAAATGAGGTACTTTGGTCGAATGTGTCGTGTTGACTCTGAAGAGTCCATGATGTCTAAGAAATCTGTCAGTTCTGATTCTGGAATTTTGGCTGGCTATCATGATCTTAAACACTCCAGTGGTATGACCACATCATCCACCTCATTACAAGCCCCTGGTGCTTCAGCCGTTGGTGGGCACAGACCTAAAGGCATGTCAGATTCTGCCGTTTCAATTGATAATCCTAAAGAATTTGAGCCAATCATGTCCTATGTAACATACAGTCAGTCTGAAAATGCATCTCCAGCGGAAATACAGCGGTATTCATCATCAGTCAGTGGACGAGCAAACACACTCCAGCCATCAGACAGACACCGTCAGGATGTTAGTGCCTATGGGAGGATTCAGAAAGGACATGACATTACCCGCAGTACTCATAGCTTGGATTATCATGCAGGGCATTCCAGATTTGTGCACCCAGGTGTTGGATTGGGTGACCAGGATGTGGCCAGTCAGGGTTTTCAGGATTCTGGATTATGTGCTTCAAATTTCTCGGTCAGTGGTCAAGATTCGGATGATAGCAGATCAATGGTGTCTTCGGTTTCTTTCATTAGGCCAGTGGAGAATATTGTGATGGACGATGATAGCGAGTCAATTTATGAGGATGTTGCAATGTACCCTAGTTCAGAGACACTGTCAATGAGATCAGATGCCGGATCAGTAAAATCATTGAGCAAACTGAAAAAGTTTGGCAGCAAATTAAAGAAATTTAGTAAATTCAAAATTAAAAAGTTTTGGAAATAGTTCCTAGAGAAACCAATAGCATAATGTATATTTTTTTTTTATTGTCTTTCCTGCTATTACAACATTAGACATTAATTTGGTGAGATTTTTTTTATTTTGATTTAAGCATTTGTAATCATATCTATTTAATTTGGGGGTTCTGGGTGGACTAGTGTATCAAACAGGAAAGTTTAGTTGTTAGACTAGTATCATTAACATGGTGATTGAATTATAAGATGCAGGGGGGTTTCAGAGTGGGGTCTGCTTTTAGGTGTTCCTTATTTGGTAAAAAATGAGGGGAAGGTGAGAATGGAAAAAAATGAAAACAATATAAAGACAACGAAAAAAATTTAAATCTTAATTTTTTCAGGGTCATTAAGAAAATGGATTTATAATTTTTTTTTTTTTTTTTAAATGACAACAGGGAAAGAATAAGTTATAAAATTATTAAAACAAAAAAACTATTATATAATAATAATAAAAAATATTAGTTTTTTAAATTTTTTTTTGTTTTTAATAACCAGAATTTCAGGACCTGGAAACTACTCTTTCATATTAACCTAAAAAAATAAACATATATATTTATATCAGAAAATGCCCTGACAATTGTATCTGATCAAATTTTGATTTAGGATTAGCTTTCAACTTTTTTACCTTCACTCACATTTTTTGAGTTTCAAAAATTTATTTGATAAAAAATATTTTATATAATAGGAAATCATTTTTTTTTTTTTTTTTTTTTTTTTTTACAATCCATAATACACATTGGTCCCTATTTTTATGCTCTACAACATTAATACCAGACCAGATACTAAACTCCCCAGGGCATGTTTCTGGACATTCTTTACCTCCCATCTGTCCCCTTTACATATTCTCGGGCATTGGTTTAAATTTCCCATGCACCTGATTGGTTGGTTTTCTGACATTACTCAATTTTTTCTTTGCACTATTTATATGGTGATTTGATTGGCTAGTTAAAAATTATATCGTGATTTGATTGGCTAGTTAAAAAAATAAATTGAAAAAAAAAAGTCTTTCACTTTTGTCCGAGAAAATGTTAGTGTATTATGACTAAAAATTCTAAGAACAAAACAAACTGTAAAAAATGCTGTCTTTAAACCATCTGGACTATATAATACTGTACAAGTATCTTTTTTTTACTACTTTAAACAACTGTACTATATTAATATAAATTTGTGGTTCACACATTTTGTGTCATAATATCTGACAAGCCAACACTTGTTACCTAAAAACAGTATTTAAAATATAAAACTCTTGTAGTTTGTCATAATCACATAATTGGGACTATTATCAAGATCTTGGGAGTTGCTTACACTGTTTGACCTATAGTTCTGGGAGTATCTCTTTTTTTTCTTTAAACCAACACTTTGGTTTATATATGAAGAGGCACCCCAGAACTTAGGATATATCTCAGTTTCTTTCCTGATCATTTGACTATTTTTAGTGTCATACCTTTATGTACTGCTCTTTTGTGGGTCTAATATGTGCACATACATGTATATATTATTGATGTGGGTCATGGCATAGTTAATTCTTTCTGTAATGAATATGGGCCCTGAAATTATGATGACTTGCTATAATCAGTACATTAATATCCACAAACCATTGTCTGCTATATCTTTGCTTCAGATGAATGGGTATTTTTTTTTCTCTTTTCTTTCTTCCCTACCTTTCTTTCTTTTTTTTTTTTTTTTTTTTTTTTTAAATTTAGCTCTCTGGGATTTAATCAAATTTTTACAAGATTTGTGGGTGGTTTAAAAAAAAAAAATCAATGTGATCTCCTTAGTTTTTTTTTTTTTTTATTGATATTGTCTTTGACTCTTAGATGTTTTGGCTGGGTGATTAATTATGGGCATATCTCGGCTCCAACCTTGAGCTGAGTGACACAACACATTTTAGTGCATGAGCTGTTCCAAGTAGTACTGCTAACTGTGTACTCCCAATAATATCAAGACAGAGTATTTCTTGGAGATAGTCATAGATAGTTTGTTTTGTTTTTTTTTTATTTGCAAAAGAAATGATAAGTTTGGAAATGACCATTTAGAAATTTTTACTCAATATCTTTCTCCAAGGGACAACCAGTATACATTCACCAATACTTTCGAACTTGCACTTAACACTCTGGTGTATCGAGAAACCTGATTTTCATCTATTGTCTACCAAACTTAGTCTGTAGAAAAGCATTCTCTGCCACTCCCAAAGTGCACCACAACCACTCCTCCTCCCTTTGCGCAAAACTGTTTTTCTGTTACTTATGTGAGTGTATTGTCCAGACTGTTCTGACTTTGGACAAGCAATTCATTATGACACTTCAGAGATAAAACTTTGATAAGTATCAACACAGAACAATTATTATTTTTTTTTTTTTAATTATATCACATCACCCTATTCAAAGCAGTAAAGCCACTAAGATACAAGGGATTACGGAGTGTGAAAGTACAAGAAAAAAGAAATGTTATCCATGAGTGAGAACAATAGAAGATAATAATTGACATTGCATTTAAATTTTTGAAGATCAAAGTTGGCTGAAAAGCATGGAGCCAGAATAGTTCCACAAGTGAGAAAAGAAACTGTTAGCATAGAACTTACAATTACCTCTAACCAATTTAACTGTGAATTGATGAGACCTTACCGCCAATATGAGATTCCTTATTTTGTCATATTGTACAAGCTGGAGAAAACAGGGAAATTGAATCTCTCACAAATGTTTATTTCCATGAAAATAACCATGGGCCCTTGAGTGTATAGCTTTGAGGCCTTTGTTCTATGTAAACCCTATATTCTCATCTGGATCTCAGAGAGGCTGCTCATACTGCTTCTCAGGTTGGTGTTTATATATTTAGCTGTCACCTTTTTTTTTATCATGCACAAAGCATCCAAGTCAATTTCTGCCCCTTGCTTCTTTGGAGGACACTGAATGCAAAGTCTATTCTGGTATGATCTGGGGTGAGACAATTTCATCATCTCTCACCTGCCACCCAAATTGATATTTTGTGTCATTACTTATCTCAAACCCCAACTTTCAAATTGAGTGCAATACCACGTTTTTAAAATCAACCTGCCTAATGGGTAGTGCTATTCAAAAAGATATTAAGTTTTCAAATATCAAGATATGCAAACATAACAAATATATGGTTGATACTTTTGAATAATAATAAAGATGGATCATTCTCTAGATGCAGTAGTTAGTTGTGACAGACATCAGTTATTTGGTTAGTATTTTTCTGAGGAGATACATGAATGGACCTTTTTTCCTTTTCCTTTAAGACTTCTCTATGAACAGAAATATTTATTCTTCAATGAAACTATAACAATTTTTCATCTAAAAGCACACAAGAACAGATTTGGCAAGAGTCCAGTGTCCCACCATCTTGTGGGCCAAGTTCCAGACAGTAAATAGTGATTTACTTAGCATTGCTTAGATTTTCCTCAAGGCTTTCAGACAGTAAATATAGCAAAAAAAAAATGTCTGGATCTCTAACTATTTGCCCTAGCCTAATTTGAGCGACAGATTGTGAGGAGTGGGGTAATACAGGACAGCAGTAAACTCATGTAATAATAAATGAATGTCATATGTCAATAAATATTTATATATGACATAATGTGAAGATGAGACAAAGTGAAAAATTTTTATCGAAGACTCATTTTGTCAGATAAAGTGTATGTTCTGTATGTCTTTTTCATATATGTGTACAGGTATGCATACATGCATAAGAAAAAAGCCTCTATGAGATGTATGTGTGTTTGGGTATACGTGTACATGTATACATACATAAATAAGAAAAAAGCCTCAATGAGATGTGTGTGTGTAGGTATATGTGTACAGATATACATATATGAATAAGAAAAAAGCCTCTATAAGATGTGTGTGTGTGTGTGTATGTATACAGGTATGCATACATGCATAAGAAAAAAACCTCTATGAGATGTGTGTGTGTGTGTAGGTATATGTGTACAGATACACATACATGCATAAGAAAAAAGCTTCTATATGATGTGTGTGTATAGGTATGCACAATTATACATCAATAGGCATGTTTATATGTACATGTATGCACAAGTATAGAAAAAAAAGGGGACTCTTATGCATGTATGTACCTAGGTGGATATGTATGTAGGTACACATATGAGATTTTATATATATATATATATATATATATATATATATCAAGAGCAATATTGGGGAAATTGTATGACAAAGTGGAAAAAGTCTGCTTGTGATTCATTTTATCTTTTAGGACTTCATTGGACTGCATTTGTTAATGTTTTGTCCTTCAGGACTACATCAGACTAAATTTGTTAAATATATATATATATATATATATATATATATAAGTCCCTGATTAAAATCCTACAATACCAAACAGCTCTAATAAAAATACAGATAAAACAAATAAGCACTGAGGTGGACATACTCTCTTCAAGCCTAAATCAAGAGGTGATAAGCTAGGGTAATTAATTTTATTTATGATACCCACTTATCTTCAGAGATTCCAATACATTTTCTACACACTCAGTTTTGTCTTTCTTTTATTTCAAACTGAAGAAGACAAAGAGAGCATACAGTTTCTCTGGTTTGATAAAAAAAATTTTCATCTTCACTTTTGTTTCAGATCATATTATACATCCTAGAAATACACAGAAGACATAATATTTGTAGAATGTTGACAGTTTTCCTTATTTTAAATAAATTGGATCTTTTTAATATTGATTCTTGAAAAACTCTGTTAATATTTTCAAAATGCCTTCAGCATCAGTGTATTTGTTTGGAGGCTTTTGTGGGGCATGTTAAAGCTGATGTATATAGACCAGGAATAGAAGACATGAGATTCACTTTTGACTAATTAGCAAAGTATATTAAACTTTTCTTTTCTTTTTTTTTTTTTTATTAGTATCAGGTAATTTTAGTTGAACTTGGTAATGCTTATCAAATTCCTAAGTT